ATATTTATATATATAAATATATATAAATATATATATATATATATATACAAATACAAATATACTATGCACATTTAAGTGAACAGGCACACAGAAATACACAGCTGTAAATGGAGAGGTAAGTGCATGCACGCACATAAATATATATATATATATATATAAGTATATAGATAGTCTATATATACATATATAAATGTGTATATATTATATATAAATAAGTATAAATATATATACTTACATATATACGTATATATTTTGCATGTGCGTGCATGCGTGTGCATGGAAGAAGAGGGGGCCGTTTGTCTCTGTATACAGCGCGTGAGGCGAAAGGAGACAGACAGCCGAAGCCCCAAACAAACAAAAACAAAAAAAGAAAGCAACGAAGAGAGATAAAGAAAGAGAGACAAAGAAAGAAGGAGAGACAAACAGAAAGACTCAGCCAGAGCTAGCTCAACGCTGGCTAGCTAGCCAGCCTGGAGCCTAGATAGCTAATAAGCTAGCTAGCTAGGCCCCAGCTATCTAGCTAGCTGGACCCTAGCTAGCTAGCTCGTTAGCTAGCTAACCAGGCTCCAGGTCAAGGGGCGAGTAAGGGCACTGGCTAGCCACCAGCCGCTGCACATCCTGTTGCAGCAAGCAGGCTACCCGTCTTCAGCTAGCTAGCTAGCTAGCTAGCTAGCTGGCTGGGGGAGGTTCTAGCTAGCTAGACTTGTTAATACAAGCCACGGAGAGCGACAATGAGGGGCAGCCGCAGCAAAGATGTTGCATTGATTGACGCCTCCTTCGGGGTGTCTCTACACCTGAACAGCAGCAGCAGCAGCAGCAGCAGCAGCAGCAGAAGACCAGTTCAACACATTCTCGAGTACACCCAAGACCCTAAACCTTAAACCCTAAACCCTAAACCCTAAACCCTAAACCCTAACCCCCACCTACTCCTGCGCAAACTCCTCAAAGGAAAGAGTTAGGCCCGCATAATGAGCAGCTGTTTTCCACGGCTCTTCTGCGGTGTCTACAAAGAGCTCTTTGCGTGCACATTCAGTTGCTGCTGCTGCTGCTGCAGCAGTTGCTTTTGCTGCTTCTGCTGCTGCTGCTGCTGCTGCGGGTGGGGGCGCTTCTGTTGCTGCTGCTGCTGCTGCTGCTGTTGCTCTTGTTGCTGCTGTTCTGCCTTGATGGGTGCAGCAGCTGCCTCCCGAGATTGTAAGAAAATGATATTTCCCTTTAAACAAATCAACAGCGCTAGCCAGCGCTAAGTCATCAACCTGCACGCATTCAGGTGTACAGACACCTCAAGGCACCCCCCATGCATTTAAAGCCTCTAAACGCATTTCTATGCACAAGCATTATGCACTAACGCATTAGATAAGTCAATTAAGAAGCTGTACATAAATATACATATATATATATATATATATATTCATATATATATATATGCATGTATTAATATGTAAGCATAGACAATATGCAAGCATTTAATGCATATGCTCTGCAGCTAAACAAAGTGTATATTATATATATATATATACATTTATATGTGCATACATTCATCCATATGCACCACATATCTGCACGTCTTTTTGAGGTGTATGTGCAGCTAAAGACCCAACAAAAAGAGGTGCAGATACACCCCAGCGAGCGGAGCTCTCACATTCTCAAAGGAGATTTGGGCCCTACGGAATTTGTCAACGATAGAAGGCGTCAGCAGCACTGCACAAGTAAACACTCAGCTCCTAAACCCTAAACCCTAAACCCTAAACCCTAAACCCTATAGCAGCAGAAAGGGAGCAACACACGCAACACACTAAGCTCCTAAACCCTAAACCCTTTGCCCGCTAATTTTATATGATGCGGAAAAGAGAGACAGCCCAGTGTTTAGGGTTTAGAAGCTAGGGTTTAGGGTTTAGGGTTTAGGGTTTGAAGAGGCACTCCGGTGGAGGTGGTGGAAGACGGCAGCAACAACAAAAAAGTTCAGGCGGCCCCGATGTTCTTTGTCGAATAGTGCGAAGCAGGCTGCAGCGCAAACCCTAAACCCTAAACCCTAAACCCTAAACCCTAAACCCTAAGCTGTGCTGCCTTGGTGCAGCAGTTCTTTCTATGGTTTTGGCTTGTACGTGCTGCTGCACTTCTTTGTGGGTCTCTCTTTAAGTGTCTCCTTTTGAGTGTCTGTCTCTGCTTCTGTCTCTGTCTCTGTCTATTATAGCTCTCTCTTCTTCTGTCTCTTGCTTCGTCTCTCTTTGTTTGTGTGTCTCTTCATCTCTGTCTCGTCCCTGCATTCCTCTCTGCTTCAGTCTCTCTGTGGCTGTCTCTATTATGTCTCTGTCCTCAGATTTGTCTCTTTACATATACATATACATATATATATATATATATATACATATACATATATATATATATATATATATATATATATTTATTTGCATGTGTATGTATTCATATAATATACATATATATTATATATGTCTGTGTCTTTATATCTGCATGTATATATATGTATATATATATATATATATGTACATATATATATAAGCATATATTCATGCATATATATTCACCTATGTATATATATGTCTCCGTCCTTATATCTGCCTCTGTCCTTATATCTGTCTCTGCTTTTTATCTGTCTCTGTTATTCTATCTGTCTCTGCGTCTATACGTTGGCTTTGAGTGTCTCTGTCTTCTGCGGTGTATAGGCACCTTTGATGCGGTCAGCTGTATCGACACTGCAGTACCGCGACAACCCCAACAGCAACTCCAGGGCATCTGCTGCTCCACAGCGGCTTCCCTGCATCTCTTCAAAGGCCTCTGAATGACAAACATGCAAACAAATACCTGCCTTGAGAGTCTAGGGTTTAGGGTTTAGGGTTTAGGGTTGGGCAGTAAAGCAACAGCCGTTCAAACGCAGTACCCAAGATACAGCAACACCCCTTGGTGTCTCCTTTGCTGTTTCTAATTGTCTCCTCTTCCAGCCTCAATGCAGGAAACCATTATAAGGGTTTAGGGTTTAGGGTTTAGGGTTTCGCTGCCACACCTTCAAGCGCTCTTCGAACTTCCTGGCGATCCCCCCACTGCGCAGTACCCGCTGCGGCAGGGGGGCCCCCACGGGCCCCCTGAGTGGCCCCCTGAGGGGCCCCTGGGGGGCCCCCTTGCTGCAGCAGCAGCGGCTCTAGTGCCTGACAGAAGTCGCCGATGCTGAAGTACAGAGACGGGGTGTTGGCTACGAGGGCTTCTACAGCTGAAGCACAAACCCTCTAAACCATAAACCCTAAACCCTAAACCCTAAACCCTAGGCTATAACCGCTAGGAAGCGTGTGCGTTGCCACAGCAACACCACCCTGTGTGTTTATGTGAAGCTTCTCCATTTAGGGTTTAGGGTTTAGGGTTTAGGGTTTAGGGTTTAGAGTAGTTACCTTTGCTGAGGGGAATATTATGCATAAGTTGAAGGGCCCTAGGGTTTGGGGTTTTACGAGATTGAATAAGAACATTTGTTGCAGCCCACGACGAAAGAAACTCTCTAAAAGAAATGCAATTGCCTATAGAAGGCATTAGTCTCTGAATAGACACCTGCCTAGACACCTGAGGGGACATCCCCCAACTTAAAACCCCTTCCTGCTGCAGCTCTCTCCCTCTTGAAGCACCCCTCTGCAGCTGCTGCAGAGGCAGCAACGAGCTCAGCGGCCTCCTGCGGTGTACGTACACCCCAAAACCACACATCTAAAACTGCTTTTCTGCTGCTTTGCATGCAGATAAACAACACGATAGACTGCCATCCTTCTAATACTAGGGTGTAGGGTTTAGGGTTTAGGGTTTAGGGTTTGAGGCCTATTTACTCATTGTTGTAGCTTTCAAAAAGGCCGCTGAGGGTGTTCTCTTCTTGCAGCAGATCATCCAGGGTTTGCAGCTTCTGAGGGGGCCTCGCAGACCCTGAAGGGGGCCCCTGGGGCCCCTCAGAGGGCCCCCCTATTACTGTCTCGGCTTCAGCAACTCGAGAGAAATACCGCAAACCCAGAGACACCTGGGGCCCTTTGGCTGTATACCCTCTGTTCGCTGTGAGCGGATGGGGGCCCCTAAGGGGCCCCCACCCTGTTGTGGGGCCTCGGGGGCCCCTCTTACAACATGGAAGTTGATAGGGCCAGGGCAATGCTCTGGTAGACTCCTTCCATCCTGCTGTTGTTTTTGCTGATGCTGCTGCTGTCACTGCTTCTGCTGCTGTTGTTGCTGCTGCTGGCTTTGCAGCAACAGCTGATGCTGCTACTAGGACAGGCGAGTGTACAGACAGCGAAGAACTTCCGAGCGTTGCAGCGCTGCGACCGACGTGAAGCTGCAGCAGCGGTCGGGTGTATAGGCAGCTGCAGCACCTCGCAGCTGAGCCCATGAGGTTGAGTCTTCTAAAGGCCAATACTTTGTTTTAAAAAGACAAAGGAAAAGCACGAGACGAGGGAAAAGAAAGAAAAGAAGATGCAGCTGACCTAGTGTACGTACACTGCACAGACAATGCAAACAAACTGCCTTATATACAGTGCTGACGCACCCGAAAGCAGCAGCGCTCAGGTGTCTGTACACCTGAATTCAAATAGACAATTACAAATTTCCACCTGTTTTTATAAAGTAAACACTTAATATATATTTATAATAAGCAAACGACACCATCACACTCGCTCTAGGGGGCCCCCCTTGTTGCTTCTGCATAGTCGCTAGCTCCGGGGCCCTGCAGCCCTGATGCAGCTGGCTGCCGTCTGGCGATAATAAATGAAAGACGAATTAATTCAATTAAAATATATAAATATTTTAATTTAAACAAATATAATATTCGCTTGTCTTGAGCAAAGAGCAGGAGAGGTGGGCCGTTGGTGCGGTGTACGTACACCGCACCGCCGCACCACCGGTCAGGGGGGTGACTTCCAAGGGTTTGCCGCTGTTCTCTTGACTCTTTATCATTAATTTATTCAATTAAAACATTTAAATTGTCTTTAATTACAAACGAAATACTAAATAGCTCCCTGCAGCCTCTACGCAGCTCCGTCGGGTGTATGCTGAGCTACCGGACAAACTCAGCGGTGTACGGCCCCACACCTCTCAACAAAAGCAGCGGGAACGGATCCCACGTTACATTACATAAGGCGTCTATGTTAAATGAGCAGACAGTGCCTATACACCTCGCGATAAAGCCCTCAGCCTCCTGCATGCGCCGTCGTTTCTAATTAGCATATTCACGTACACTCTGGTTTACAGGTTGGTAGCCGTAGCTACCAAGCTACAGCTAGCTACAGCTAGCTTTAGCTAGTGACAGCTAACCATACGGCGGGTGGAGGCGCCTGCCTCATTTCGCCACCCTTGCAGCACTTGCTGACAGGCCTCTCAGACTTTAGCAGAAGATTAGGTATGGCGATGCCCTTGCGCTCTCGGCCCGCAACAAAGATCTGCACAAACTAGTTTTAAACAAATCTATAGCTGCTGCATTTAACTTCATGCTGCTGCCTCAGCAGGCCTGCTGCCTACCCCTCTTCGGGGTATACATATAGCGCCGCTCTGCTGCGCTGCTGCCCCCTGAGTCTTTATAAATAGCAGTGGAAACAGCAGCAGCAGATTAAACCCTAAACCCTAAACCCTAAACACGGAATGGCTTGAAGAGTAGACGAAGTCGGCGGTATGTCCGAGTGGTTAAGGAGGTGGACTCGAAATCCACTGGGCTCTGCCCGCGCAGGTTCGAATCCTGCTGCCGTCGTTTTAATTTAATTTTTAACTTGTTTTGTTCTTCTGTCTCTCTTCTCGCTGTCTTGTCTCTCTTCTTGCTCTTCAGTCTCTAAGCCACCATCAATGCACACAGCTGCCTTCAGCGACTTCCTCTTCTTATTTACTTCACTTAAACGCAACCCAAACAAACAAAGACAAGAAAGACAATATACGCAGCAGCAAACCAACTGCCAGTGCAGGCAAACAAACATATTACTCTGCCTCAAGGCAGACAAGTCTGTCCGTGCAAAAGCAGCAGCAGCAGCTGCTGCTGCACGTGCTGCAGCAGCAGCAGCTGCTGCAGCTGCTCTACATTTTTTGTTCTAGAGCCCTTCTTCGGGCTCTCCAGAGGGCCTCTGCTCGCTGCTGAGGAGAAGAGGCCCCCCAAAGAAAGTGCGGCAGCAGCAGCAGCTGCCACCCCTGCAGCTGCAGGGCCCTGAGGACTGCTAAAGTGTCTCCTTGCAGCTTGCGGGGGCCCCCTCCTACCCAGAGGAGACCCCACGCGTCTGTCTCTATTTTTAACCTGTCTCCTTTTCTAACTGTCTCTCCTCTATCTAATCTGGTAGAGACCTCGACAGCAGCTGGCTTGAGGCCTGCCTCTGTCTCTGTCTCCGTCTCCTTGCCTACTTGTCTCTCTAACTCTGTCTCTTTGTCTGTCTCTGTCTCCGTTTCTGTCTCTATTGCTGTCTCTCTTTCTTCTCCAACTGAATAGAGACAGGAAGGAGGTAAGTAGCAGTAGGCTATGCTGCAGGGGGTCTCAGCAGCAGCAACGAGCACGAAGGGAGAGACGGCAAACCCAACCTGCAGCAAAAGGAGACACTCTTATCTGTCCCTTTGGCTCCTTTCTGCTACACCCAAAACCCTAAACACTAAACCCTAAACCCTAAACCCTAAACCCTAATCCCTTTCCTATTCCACCTGCCGAAACGGCATCAGCCCAGAGTCCTCAAAAGGATAAACCCTAAGCTTGCAAACCCTAAAGCGTAAACCCTAAACCCTAAACCCTAACACCATGCGTCTCACTGTGTTAGAGACTCCTCTGCCTCTCAGCATCGCCGCCAGTTCTCGCTCAACCCTGAGGCTTCTCAGCTGCAAGGCTGGGGGGCCCCCCAAAGGCCCGGGGGCCCCCTGAGCCACACGGATGGAAAGGATGCGGAGACAGTAGCTGCTGACGACCTGGAGGAGACACAGACAAGGAGACAGGCTGCAGCAGCTAAGCCACCCACATAACCTGCACAAGCAGCAGCTGCCGCTGCTGCTGCACCTGCAGCAGCAGACGCAGCACGGGAAGCATAGGCCTTACGTATTGCTGCAGCGCTTCGGCAGTTGTCCTCGGAGGCGGCAGCACCGGCTGCTGCTGCTGCTGCAGCTGCTGATGCAGTGCCGCTGCAACGGCATTCATAACACCGCACTGAAGCTCTAGTGCAGCTGCATTTGCTGCTGCTGCTGCAGCAGCAGCAGCAGCAACAAATGCACCAGCAGCAGCAGCTGGAGCCTCCACTCCACGGCGGCACTGGAAGAAGGGAGACGCATGCAAAGCCCCGTCAGCAGCAGCTAACAGCGAGGTGGATCCCTGCAAACCCCAAAGACGCAAGCATTCAGGGTTTAGGGTTTAGTGTTTAGGATTTAGGGTTTAGGGTTAACTTTCACAGTAAGCAGCGGCAGCGGCAATCTGTCGCTCACCACTGAGTAGGCAAGGGACACAAGCTGCCGCAACGAGAAACCCTGCTGTTGCTGCTGTTGCTGCTGCTGCTGCTGCTGCTGCCTTAAAAAGCTCCCAATAATCTGACGAAGTGTCTCCGTATTAGCAGCACGGCGCCAGAGGTCACCATTTGCTGACAAGATAGAGTCTACAGCTTTTGCTGCTGGTGCTGCTGCTGCTGTTGCTGCAGTCACAGTTTCAGCAGCAGCAGCAACAGCAGCACGTAGCAAACTGTCTCGCAGCATCAGCAGCTCCTGGCTGAGGTCTTCGTCTCTAAACGCCCACCTACTGGCAGAGGCCCTAAAGGGGATGTCGATTTTTGCGTCAGCAGCAGAACCTGCTGCTGCTGCTGCTGCAGGAGCAGAAGCTGCTGCTGCTGCTGAAGCAGCAGCAGCAGCCAATGCTGCTGAGGGTTCAGCAGCAGCTGCTGTCGGTTTTGCTGCAGTTGCTGCTGCTCCCGCTACTGTCCCTAACAAGCCACAAGATGCTGCAGCTAGCTGCTGGGACTTCAGGTAGTCCACCAGCGACTGTCGATACACCTGCTGTTGCTGCTGCTGCTGCAGCTGCAGCACGTAGTAAGCCTGCAGCAGCCTCTGGACCGAGACGAGAGGAAGCAGCAAATCATCCCCCGAAGAATTTGCTGCTGCTGCCGCAGCTGATGCAAATGCATGGAGGAGAGTGCAGCAGCTGGATATATCGAGCGCTGCTGCTGTTCCTGCCAAGTCGCTGAGTTTATTCTGGTGCTGCTGCTGCTGTTCCTGCTGCTGCTGCATGCACTGCAACACGACGGGGGCAATCCGTAAGGAAGCAACGTTAGCCGCACGCAGCAAAAAGGAGAGAGGCAGCTGAAGCCCTTTTCCTGATAGCTGCAAGAGGGCCCCCAGCAGCCTCGCCAGCTGCTGCAGCGGCAGCAGCTCCGGTGGGGCCTGCTGCAGCAGCAACTGCTGCAGCAGCAAAACGCAGCACATGCAACCGCTGGCAGCTGCAGAAACGTTGATAACAGTGCAGTCAGTAGGCGAAGGCACCACCAACAACAGCAGCAGCAAGCATAAACAGAAGAACACAGCAGCGGCATCAGCAGCAGGAACAGCAGCAGCAGCAGCAGAAGCAACAAAGGACTGCGCACCATAGTGTTCTTAGGTAGAAGCAGCTTAAGGAGGGCTGCTGCTGTAATGAGGTTAGCAGCACCACCAGGCGACATCCCCCCTACTTCTTTGTGCAGCAGCAGCTGCTGCTGCTGCTGCAGTTCCTGCTGCTGCTGCTGCTGCTGCTGCTGCTGCGCGTTGTCGGGAAGCGCGTTCAGCCGCGCTGCTGCAGCAGAGCGAAGAGACTGAGGGACACGCTGGAGACGGAGACAGCCGAGCAGCAGCTGCGCGAGGGCCTCAAGCGGCGCTTCTGCAGCAGCAGAACCAGCAGCAGCAGCAGCGGGATCAGCAGTAGTAGCAACTTAAGAAGGCAGCAGCAGCAGTAGCACCAAAGACACCAGAAGAAGCAGCAGAGACACCAGCAGCACCAACAGCAGCAGCGACAGCAGCAGCAACACCTGCAACATCACAAGGAGAGATAGCAGCGCCAGCAGCAGAAGAGACACGAGCAGCAGCACCTTGAACGAGCAGCAGCAACAGCAGCAGGAGCAACAACAGCAGCAGCAGCAAAGCCTCACTAGCAGCAACAGTTTGCGCATGCACGGCAAGCTGCTGCAGAGTGCTTAGCACCAGCACTTGGATGTCTGCTGCAGCAGCAACAAATGTCGCGAGGTCTGTGGGTCCCCACAAGCTGAAGCATTCGGAGCAGCTTCTGTCCAGGGCTTCTGCAGCAGCAGCAACAACAGGAGCAGCAGCAGCAGCAGCAGCTACAGCTGCAGCAGCAGCAATAACTGCGGCAGAAGTAACAGCAGCAGCACCGGCCAGCCTAGGCAGCACGCACCCCACGAAGAACCAGATAGCTTAGTAGTTTGTGCTGGGGTTTAGGGTTTAGGGTTTAGGGGTTGCATTCACCGAAGGCCTGCTTATCATTTACTCCAGCTGCAGCAAGCTCCCTTGCTGCAGCAGCAAGATCTGCTGGTGCAGCAGCAATAGAGCCCCGCAGCATCAGCACAACAGCAGCAACGACGCGCATATCTCCTCCCGTTGCCTTCAGCACCTCCAGAGTAAACCTCAGGGGCATGGCGGCTAGCTGCAGCAGCAGCAGCAGCAGCAGCAGCAGCAGCAGCAGCAGCGCGCCCTAACCATGAATAGAAAAATGGGTTCCTCTAGGGTTTGAGGTTTCGTAGGGTTTAGGGTTTAGGGTTTAGGGTTTTGGGGGGGGCGCCAGTAGTCACCTGGCCTTCCACATGAGGCAGCACTTCTTGCAGCGTCTTCTTCTCTGCTGCATCTTCTGCCGCGTTGCTGCTGCTGCTGCTGCAGTTGTTGCTCATGTGCTGCTGCTCCTGCTGCTGCTGCGTGAGGTCCAAAGGGTCTTCAGGAGCTGAGGCTGCTGCTGCTGCTGCTGCTATTGCTGCCGCTGAATCCACTTGAGATGTAGAGGCCCCTGGCGGTGCTGCAGCATCAGCAGCAGCAGCAACTCCTGCTGCTGCTGAGCGCCGCCCGCGCCGTGCCTCAATTACACGGCATAACCGCAGCAGGTCCTTTTTATCCATGTCTCTGGCCCCTGCAGCAGCAACAGCAGCAGCAGCAGCAACAGGAGCAGCAGCAGCAACAGGAGCAGCAGCAACAGCAGCAGCAGAAGGCAGAGGCGACGGACTGCTAAAATAAATCCATCGGCAACAGAAAAGGCCGCAGCTGAAGCAGCAAATGCAGCAGCAAGTGCACCAGCAGCAGGAGCAGCAACACCAGCTGCAGCAGCAGCAACAGCAACAGCAACAGGAACAGCAGCAGACGCTGCAGCAGCGCACCCTCCGCAACAGCACCTAAGGCCTTGCAGTAAGCAGAAGAAGGCCAGTCCCTAGACAGCAGCAGAAGCACTGCAGCAACACAATGCAACACAGACAATACTGCTGCTGCTGCTGCTGCTGCATGTGCATTTCGAGCTGCTGTCTCTGCCGCAATGAAGTGCTGCTGCTGCTGCAGCAGTTACTGCTGTCGTCAAAGTAGTTTCTGCTTTTACTGCTCTCTCTACTGTTCTCGTTGCTGCTGTTGCTGCTGCTGTTGCTGCTGCTGCTGCTGCTGCACTTGCCTTGCTGCTTGACAGGAAGGCCTTGCGAGAAGACAAACTCTGGGGGAACGCGAAGCCGAGAGGGCAGCACCTGGGTGTCTCCCTCTTTGGGGTGTACAGACACCGCGGGCCCCACAGTACGAAAGCACCGTCTAAAGGGGGCCCCAAGGAGGGGCCCCCCAGCAGCAAATAAATCAGAAATACTCCATAACGCATGCTGGCCAGAAAGGAGGGGCCCTGCTGCTGCTGCTGCTGCTGCTGCTGTCTGTACACCCCAACAGCGGTCCCCGCAGAATCCAGAACGCCAGCGAGCTGCTGCTGCTGCTGTTGCTGTTGCTGTTGTTGTTGTTGTTGCTGCTGGCGCTGTTGCTGCTGCTGTTGTTGTTGCTGCTGCTGCTGCTGTTCGTGCTGCAGCAGCAGATACCGGAAGGGCCCGGAGGCTCATCGGCAGCTCTCCTCTACAAGACACCACAGTACCAGCAGCAGCAGCAGCAGCATAAGCCGCAGCAGCAGCAGCTGGAGACGCAGAGCCCCTAACCCCTGCTGCTGGTAGGGGCCCCCAAACCCTGCTGCTGGGGGCCCCCACGCCTAATTTGCTGCTGGGGCCCCCTTGTGTTATTTATTAAGCTGCTCTGGTGTCCTCCCTACGATATTATTTTTATTATCCCCTTTCGTATTATTATTTATTATTGTTGTTGTTATTATTATTCTTGTCCTTGTTTGGCTTTTTCTTGTTTTTCTTGTTCTTCTTCTTGTTTTTGTTGTTGTTCTTCTTCTTTTTGTCGTCTTTTGCACCTGTTCGTCTTAGTCTTATTGTTATTATTTATTGCTTTTCTGTTATTTCTTTGTCTTCTTCTCCTTCTTCTCTTTCTTTATATCCCCCATAAGAGCCTTTATTCATTTAGATAATAAACACTAAATGATATTACTTTACTTCTATACGTCGTATAAACCCAAAGAAACCAACAGCAGAACGCTATGGGGGGCCCCCCTCCAGTAGGTAGGGGGGCCCCCCTCAAATAAGAACGGGGGGCCCCTAGTGAAGGAGAAGAGGGTACAGACAACAAAATATCTTTATCATATAAACCACTTTTACTTCTTTTTATATTATTATATCCAATATAACTCGTTGTTACAAGAGAAGACTCCTGGGGCCCTAGTGGGGGCCCCTTCGGGGGCCCCCCGGGTCTTACTAGGGGCCCCTAAGGGGCCCCTGTGTGTCTCCTTTCCCTACTAGCGCGAGTCTCTAAGTAGCTGTGCTTATTAGAGTTTGTTATTATATTTTAAAGTGCTTACTAGGGTTTGTTATGATATTCTAGAGGTTTATTCCTGAAGAGACATGCACACAACCTGGAGTTAGAGACAGAAAAGGAGACAGCTACCCCCAAACAAACAGATACAGATAAACGCTCCACAATAAAAGAGACAACTTCTCTGCGTCAAACTCCAGGGCGGCCAAACTACCACCCGTTTTAAACCCAAGGCAAGCTGCCGGCTACGCAGCTAGCTAGCTACCTATTCGCTAGCTAGCTAGCTAGCCAGCTAGCTAGCTATTCGCTAGCGAGCTAGTCGCTAGCTAGCTATACGCCAGCTAGCTAGCCAAAGGGGCACTCTGTCTTTGCCCCCTGTCTTTTGAATTTGTGTACTGACACAAAAACTGCAGCGCCATTTAATTGTCGATACCCCCCAGCTAGCCATCCTTTAAAATAGGCGACTAGCTAGCCAGCTAGCTAGCCAGCTAGGCAGGTAGGTATTCAGGTAGCTAGCTAGCTATCTAGCTAGCTGGATGGCAATTTAGGTGCACATGCAGCTAGACGGCTAGCTAGGAATATAGTATGTAATCGCAGAGGAGTAGCTAGCGCATGGGGTGGCTAGCTACAGCTAGCCATCTGTTGATGTGTCTGTGTCTGTACAGCTGCGCAAGTGTCTCTACTCTACTCCCTCCTAAGCAAGGGGACATAGAGCAGACCCCGTAAGGCCCTGCCCTGGGGGGCTGTCTAAGAGCTGCGCTAATATATCAAAGGCCTGCAGCGCTGCTGCTTCTGTGGGGAACTCGATCCAGCGGGAGACGAAAACTTCATTCAGGGGATCGGTCTCCTCCGGCTCCTCATGCCCTAGCAACCAGCCCCCTACCTTTGTTTTCTTTAATACCTGCCAAGGGCCTTTCTTCTGCTGATGCTCCTCCTCTTGCTGCTGCTGCTGCTGCTGCTGTTGGCGTTTCTGCTGCTGTGGAGAAGGCGAAGCCTCGCCGTCTTCCTGAGAAGCGCTGTCCTCGGAAGAAGCAGCCTGCTGCTGCTGCTGCTGCTGCTGGCGCTGCTGCTGCTGCTGCTGCAGCCCTGCAGTCTCCTCTTTGTTCTGCGAGGAGGAACTCTTAGAAGAGACAGCCCCCGGCGTTGGTCTCCCTAGTGAGGCCCCCACAGAGTCGATGCTGCCCTGCTGCGGGGGAACCATCTGGCTACCTTTTGCTGCTTTCTTTGCTGCTTCTGCTGCTGCTGCAGCAGCTGGTACTGGTGCTGCTGCTGCTTCTCCTTGCTGCTCAACAGAAGGGCGTCTGTCAAAGCCACCCGAAAGATATGAAGAAGTACTCTCAGAGTATTCGTCGTACAGTTCCTCTTCGGCTTCCTCATCTGTGTAGCTGCTGCTGCTGCTGCTGCTGCTGCTGCTGCTGCTAGTGCTGCTGCCGGTGTGGTAGCTGGTGCTTGAGATCGAACTCGCAGTAGCGGCTGTCTGCAGCTGCGAGTCCCCCTGAAGCCGCAAGAGCAGCAGCACAGCTCACAAACGCATGCAACAGCAGCAGCAGCAACAGGAGCACCAGCAACAGCAGCGATAGCAACAGCACGCTCAGCAGTAAGATTATCAGCAGCGGCAGCAGAGAGAGAATCAGCAGCAGCAAGACAATCAGCTGCAGCAGCAGCAAGACAATCAACAGCAGCATAAGCAACAACAACAACAGCAAGATGATCAGCAACAGCAGCGGCAACAACAACAACAGCAAGATAATCAGCAGCAGCAGCAGCTGACGAGTTCTGCTCTTTGTCTGAGTCCTTCTCTTGTTTGTCTGGTGAGGCCGTCGTCTGGTGGCGGTCTGTTGCCTCTGGTTCTGAAGTGCAGCACCCTAAGGAAGACAGTGTAGTTTGAGCTGCTGCTGCTGCTGCTGCTGCTGCTGCTGCAGTCTCTAACAACGCGTAGCTCTGCTACTTCTCCTCTATAACAACTCCATATTACATGTCTCCCTTCTAATAGACCAAGCTTGCGTAGGCCTACAGCAAGACATAGCTGCAGCCTCCTCCTTCTGTGGGGTCTCTCTTGAGGACAGTTAATTTGCTGTTGCTGTTGCTGCTGCTGCTGCTGCTGCAGGTGCAGCTGCTGCAGCGGGCCCCCCACCCATGAGGGCACCACCCCATCAACGTCCTCGCGGTGTCGATACACCGGGATTGTCAGCAGCAACTGAGCAGGGGGAGAGCGAGAAGACCGATACACAGAGCTTTGTGTAATTGCAAGACAAAAGCTGTAGCCTTCAGGGCGCCAATTTCCTATGCAAAACACTCGACGAGGCCGCACCTAAAACCCCCAAACAAAACACAAAAAACAATCCATCTGCATGCATGTGCATGCATGCATGCATATATATGTGCATGCATATATATGTGCGCATGCATGCATGCAAAGCCAAAGCCAATAAGAAAAGGGAAAACAAAAAGAACAGCAACAACAAGACAGAAGCAGCAGCAGCAGCAGCAGGAACAGCCAGCAGCAGCAGCAACCGAAACAGCCAGCAGAAAAAGAAAGAATAAGCAACGGCAGCAAGCGCAACAACCGCATCAAAAGCCCCAACCACAGCAACAGCACCACCACCATACACCGCAGCAACAGCAGAAGCCTCCGCAGCAGCAACCGCAGTAGCAGCAACCGCATCATCCGCAGCAACAGACTCAACAGCAGCAACCGCAGCATCCAGAGCAGCAGCAAGCGCAGCATCAGCAGCAGCAACTGCAGCAGCAACAGCAGCAGCTGCAGAAGGAAGAAGAGAATTAGTCTGATAGAGTTGTAGAGTGCTGTATTACCGATTCAAGCATAGGGACAGCTTGTATTTGATTAAGAGCACCAACACAAGAAGAAGAGAGAAGCAGCAAAAGTGAAGAAGGAATGCCGAAGCAAAGCGACCCCAGACCTGAGGCTGCCCCCAGAGCAAGGCCCTTTGCTCCTGCAATTAATTTGTCTCTTCTGCTGGTAACTGAAGGCTGAGATAAATATAATTCAACGCCTTTCAAAGGCTTGCCGCATACATTCACCAGAGACAACGCAAATGTAAACGCAAAACCCTTTCCTCCGCTCCTGAACAACCCCACATATACACACAGAAGCAGCAGCAGCAGCAGCAGCAGCAGCAGCAGCAGCAGCAGCAGCAGCAGCAGCAGCAACAGCAGCAGCACACATATATATTATGGTATGTACAAATATATTAATAATATATACACATGTATAAATACACATATATATCATTCTAACATATATGCAATATATATTGATGGAGTATATATATATATGCATATATATGTATATATATATATATGCATATATATTTATGTATATATATATATATATATATATATATCTGTATCTCCCTCTCTTCTATCTCTATTACTGAGCAGCAACTCTAGGAAGAATTCTGCATATTATCTTATACAAGTCCCTCTGCAATGCTTCCTGATTATATATATATAAATACATATATCTAAATGGATATATATATATATATATACATATCTAAATATATATATATATATATATCTATTCTATCTCTATAAGCAAATATAATTCTGAGTATTATCTTACACAAGTCCCTCTGCAATGCTTCCCGGTTGATCTGCTGCTCCTCCTCCTTGTGCTTGGTTGAAGGGTGTTAGCGAAAAAGCATCTGCATTTCTAGCTAGTGCTTCTAAGCATTGAAACCAAGACCCAAAGAAACGGCCTGAAGAATCTAATAAACCCCCAACCAGCCCCATACTACACCGAGCAAACCCTCGTCCAAATGATATGCATGCAAATCCTGGGGTCCCTAATAAACTTATGCCTCGACGAAACTCCTGCATTTCATACACCGCATATTCATATTGTATACACCACTATGTACTCAATAGACATATGCATATATATGTACATATATATGCTTATATAGATGTATATATATATATATATATATATATATTATATATATATACATGAGGCGTATGCGTGTGTGCATACACGAGAACATAAATAGAGAATATATATATAATATATAATATATATATATATAGATGACATACATATAATATTATAGGCTTGTATGTGTGTACGTGCATTGAAGCATCATGTGCTAAGCTCATATATATAATTTATTTATTTATATATTTATACAATGATATAAACTGTTATACAAATGATATACAAACGTACATAGAAGCAACCCAAAGCCCCAGCCTTCCAATGCTTGAACATTATGACATATACATAATTATACATATTTATACATATTTAAATATGCTTATATATACGTATATATATATATATTCATATACATACATATATATATATATATATATAAATGATAAAATAGACGTACATAGAAGCAACCCAAAGCCCCAGCCTTCCAATGCTTGAACATAATGACATACATAATTATACTTATTTATACATATTTAAATATGCTTATATATACTCATCTATATATATATATATATACATTTATATATATAAACTGTATACTAACGTACATAGAAGCAACCCAATGCCCCAGCCTTCCAATGCTTGAACATAATGACGGGGTTCCCGAGAAGGTCAACGGCTCCAAGGAGTTGAAAGATTTGTTTGATAGCTTGGCCTATATAAGTTTGAAGTATATCGGATATAAGGACGACTAGAGGGCCGCATAGACTTTGATGCACCTCTGGGGCGAAGACAAGATTAGCATCGCTTATATAAGGGCTGCTCTTCATAACTCCTAATACACCTCTTATTAATTCACTGTGAGGCTGCTCTTCTTCTTCAGATCCCTGTCTCTTATTTCTTATATTTATTACTAATACTACACGCCCCACATCAAGTGTCCCTAAATACACTTTTCCTGCCCCGTCTCCGCTCCCTCTAATCACCTCAGACAGCGCACCGTCTACAGGGCCTAAGAACAAACAAACAGCAGAATATATTTTATACAATATATATATATGTATATGTGCTGTATTGTATTAAAGCAAAGCAAACAAACACACTCACATCAAGAAAATGTACATTGTTACAAACTAAACAAAAAAACAAACATCGCTACGCACGAAGCAACTATAATATATATATATATATAGTGTATATATTATTTATATATATGCATATATATATTATATATGTTATTTATATATGTATATGTCCTTCTCCTTCTGTACACCGAAATGCAATGAAATTTGTTTTAACGCTAAGAAGAAAGAGATTAAAAAGAGCTGAATAAGGAGACTAAGGACATTAAAAAGAGACAGTTGAATAAGGAGCTTAAAGCGACTAAAAGGAGACAACCGAATAACGAGACTAAGGACATTAAAAAGAGACAGGTGAATAAGGAGATTAAAGAGAATAAAAAGAGACAGATGAATAAGGAGACTAAAGAGATTAAAAAGAGACAGATGAATAAGGAGACAGAGGGTTTTCTTACCTAGCATGGCTCTCCAGCTGGCGCTGTTGGTGTCTGTCTCCGAGGTGCGTATATCCTTTACACTTTGCTGCAGAAGCTCTAAGTCTGCTGTTTGTAGGAGATCATCAACAAAGAGCAGCAAGGCAAGGGCTAGCTGGAAGTCAATGTTAATAGACATCGGAGACAGCCGCAGAACACACTGAGGAATCACTGTTAGGCCCCTTCCATCTACTGTGTTGCGTCTCTCTACTACCAATTGAGCTACAGCTTCGTCTTCAGCAAGAAGCTTTAAACCTTCATCTCCTGCATGCGCATGCAGAGAATAAGCTTCATCTGCTTCCTGCAGCGGGAGAGGAGACAGACATCTATTGTCTCCGTCGGCAGATACACCAGCGCCATAACGTAGCAGCTGCTGCTGCAGCTGCTGCTGCTGCTGTAGTATGCCCAAGGGACTGCTGCTGCACACGCTACTTCGGCGCCAGCCAACTCCACTGTCTCCTCCCTCGCGATCTTCACTTTCAGTTCCGTTTGGAGACCCTAAACCTACTTGCGCCTGTCTCCTGTTTCCTATACGAGGAGACAGAGGCCCTGGATGTTGTGGGGTGTCTCTGTATTGTACGTGGGTGCCTCGGCGTCTTTCTGGGGTGTCTTCTACCCCCTGGTTGTCTCTCCCCCCAGCAGCAGCAGCAGCAGCTGCTGCTGCTGCTGCTGACTTTGCTGAGGTGTCTCCTTCCCCGAAGCTTGCCTGCATGTCTGTGATTGGTCGTAACATTGTAGGATAATAAGCAAGAGGCGCATGGTTGTCTATCTGCACCCACCTAATACTAAGACGAAGCTTCTCTCCTTCTTGCGTAGAGGTGAAGGCTAACTGGAGCTGCTGCACAGAACCATAGAGTATCTCTGCAGGTTTGCTGTTGATTAGAGACAGTCCAGCTCCTACTAATACTAAATTAAGGCTTAAAGCTCGGCTAAACAGTGGAATATCTTCTGTCTCTTCTCCATCTGTCTCCCCTGCTGCTCCTTCTTCGCTGTCTCCTTTCTTGTCTTCACCCCCTCGGCCTTCATTAATTGATCCATATGTCTCCTGTCTCTGTCTCTTCTTAGGAAAATAAACAAACGGACCTCCTCCTGCCTTTAGCTCCTTTAAGCACCCAAAGGGTCTCCGCTGCTCCTCAGCCCCACCATACAATATCTCATCCTGAGCAAACCAGGGAGAGGGGCCCCTCCCTATAGGGGGGACACCAAGGGGGCCCCTGGAGGGGCCCCTAAAGGGCCCCCTATAAGGGGGGCCCCCATTGGCTAGAGAAAGAGAATCCATAAAGACATCGCCACCTGCTGCAAAAGATCTGCCGTCTGCTGCTGATGACTTCTCCGATGACTGGCTGCTGCTTTGAGCAGCAGCAGCAGCAGCAGGTGGGACCAATGAGGGTGCATGTGCTGAAGCAGCAGCAGCACAGGGTTCAGCAGAAGGCCATGGGAGGTGTCTCTCTATCTGATTAGCTCCTGTCTCCGCGAGTCTCCACGCCCCCTCTGCGCCCATAGTTAAGAATGCCTCTGGGCGTTCTATTGCTCGCCCCACACCTGCAAGGAGACCCCCAGAGTGTCTCCTAACGATATCAGGTGTTGCTCTAGTTGTAGCTTCAAAGAAGACTAAGTATGTGCTGCCTTTGACCACTGGTCTCCTCACACAAACCACCACACGGTCCACTGGTCCAGGGGGTCCCCCAGGCACTGTGGGGCCCCTGCTGCTCTGCAGCACAAGACGAATCAACCCTTGCTGCCCATGAGAAGCCTTCAGGCTTATGCTCTCCGCATACTCCCTCCGAATGCGCCGTAGCGTTGCTCCATCTACACGAGACACCATCTCCTCTGCTGCTGCTGCTGCTGCTGCTGCTGCAGCAGCAGAATGAACCTGCAGCGAACCCCTCTCCGGCGACCCCACTCTCATGGCCCCCCCGAGCGTTCCCGTATAACGGGCGCCCATTGGGGGGCCCCCGTAGGAGGCCCCCAAAGGGGCCCCTAAGGGCCCCCCTGAAGGCGTTAGGGAAGCAAAAGCTCTCACTGTGCTGCCCTGTCTGCTGCTGCTTCTTAGACGTGAATGCAGATGAGACAAACGACCAGAGAGGCGATGGCCTGAGGGCGGTGCTGTGGACATCCTCCATACTTCTAATTTCTTCTCTTTTGTGGGGTCGTAGAAGGCAAACGGTAGCCCGTACCTGTACGAATAAACAGCAGCAGCAGCAGCAACAGCAACAGCAGCGGCAGTTGAAGCACGAGCAGCAGCAGCAATACGAGCAGCAGCAGCAGCGACAGCAGCAGTAGCAGTAAAGGCAGGAGGAGGAGGTGAAGGTATGCAAGAGACAGCAGCGAATGCGGTGCCAGCATGGAGGAGACAGTAGGTAGCAGGCTGACTAAGGACATTAACAGCCTCAGCAAAACAATGAAATACAAGAGCAACAAAAATAAAGAAGTGTATATATATATATATACACTCTGCTTGGTGTCTCCTTTCTGTCTTTATTATTATTGTGTCTCCTTTTGTCTTTGCGTGTGGTGTCTCCTTCTGTCTTTAGTCTGCTTACCGGCCGAGAAATTCGTAGCTTTTTTTCAGGTGTTGTCTGGGGACCGGCATCAACACTTCATGCGCAGCTACCCCGTGCTGCCCTACGAAGAGAGGGAAGGAGGTTTTATTAATTAAAACAAAGTCAGGGATTGGGGGGTCTCTAAGCCTCACAAACTTCGCCCCTGAATAGAGACACACCTCCACCTCCGTCAGGCAGAACGCACTGCTGCTGCTGCTGCTGCTGCTGCTGCTGCTGTTCCCCGTGCTGCTGACTCCCCTCCCCGGGGGCTTCCCTACCCCCCCTCCAATACCACCACCAGCAGCACCACCGCCACCAGGAGCAGCAGAACCAGGAGCAGCAGAACCGGGAGCAGCAGCAGCAGCAGCAGCTGCTGCTGCTGCTGCGGGTTCTGCTGCCTTCACCTCTTGAGGATGACGCACCTGCACCAACCGCGCGCTGTCTATGTCCACTGGTCCAGACCATACAATACCCACTGCTGCTTCTCCTCCGCTGTCTTCATCTGATAGCTGCCAGGAGTTCCCGAGGCCCCTTGAGGGGCCCTCGGGGGGCCCCCTAGTAGATTGTGAAAGAGAGGTAGATCCACCTAAACCCATCAAACCCTCTCCTTCTACACCACCCTGCTGTACAGACACCGGGGGATGACTCCCCTCATACTCATCTGATGATGCTGCTGCGTCTCCCCCACCAACACCATCCACAAGCTTGTCTTGCTCCTTACTATTATTATTACTATTATTATTACTATTATTATAGTTATATGTTGATTCTTCGTTGTTCTCGGGCTGGGAGCTGTTCCAAGAAGTAATGCATTTTGCGTGTCTCCTTGTAAGGCCCTTCTGAGGCAGTGCAGTAATAAGAATAGAGACAGGTCTTTTACCTTGTGGGTGGAACTCCATAAGGGTCCCTGGCTCTAATAAATGAAACCTTGCATCGGGGCCCCCAGGGGCCTCGCATATCCAGAGAGCTTTCTGGGTTTCATTTACTAAGACATAAGCTGGTAAGAACTCAACAACTGTTGTACGAGAGAACGGTGCAGGGGCAATACCCATAGAGACAGAGTAATGAAGCAGAGGGTTTATCTCTGTTCTTTCAAGCTGTACAATATAAGCCCCCATATCACTAAGAAGAAACTCTTGTGACCAGGCTGCGGTGTCTGTATGAGAAGAGAAGGCTGCATGAAGACATCGCAGAAGCCCTTTAGGCTCCTCTCGGGTGTATAGATCAAAGTCTTTTATACACCCGAACTGAGAAGCAGGTAATCCTACTGATAAACGAGAAGCCCCAAAGTCATGCGATAGTATAACTCTCTCAAATGGAGGCAATGACTGCAGACTCCCATTCCCGTGCCGCCGCAGCAGCAACACGTAGCCCGTCCTGTTCACCACCTGAACAAACAAACCACATAAATGCATGCATTCACTTGCATGCATGCATGCATTTGGGTGTATGTATGCATCTCGTTGTATCCATGCATTCACTTGCATGCATGCATTTGGGTGTATGCACGCATCTCGTTGCATCCATGCATTTACTTGCATGCATGTACTTACTTGCATGCATACGTTCAAATGTGTGCATGCAACACAGAGGAGCATACAGGGACACAAGCAACACTGACGCATGCATGCATGCACGAATGCATGCATGCATCCATCCAAATAAACAAACGCAGGCACGCACGCCCATACACCCAGAAAGAGACAAAGATAGCAAAAACAATAAATACAACAACCCCACCCCATTGCCAGCAGCATCTGGTAAACTCCCCCAACACCCCACGCAGGCACAAAACGGGGGTCCTGCACGAACTAACTGCGCAGCTAGCAGCAAGCTAGCTAGCTAGCTAGCTGACTAGACTTGCTAGCTAGCTCACTAGACTAGCTAGCTAGATAGGCAGCTAGCTAGCTAGCTAGCTGACTAGACTTGCTAGCTAGCTCACTAGACTAGCTAGCTAGATAGGCAGCTAGCTAGCTAGCTAGCTAGATAGATAGATAGGTAACTAGCTAGCTAGCTAGCTAGATAGATAGATAGATATATAGTTAGGTGTATGTAGGTACCCAGAAGTCTGCGAATACGGTGAGAGTGCGAACGAAAGTGCCGTGGAAGAGACGCTGCGCTGTTGAAGAGTTTGCTGCTTTGCTGCCTCCTTTGTGATCTGTTGTCTCTGCCCAGAGCAGCAGAGCAGCAGGCTCATGAAGAGACTCTTGTTCCAGTGTCTTGGCAGCTCCCCAACCGCTGGGGTTGCTGCCCTCAGCTGCTGTCTCCTCCCCCTTTACCCCACCCCCTGTCTCCTCCTCTCCTGATATAGAACCTGAGCCTTCACTATCTAAAGGAGACACCCGACGACCGCTGCGAGAAGAGCTGTCTTCGCTGCTGTTCAGCATAACCACACGCTGTACGCTCGTCTGCAAACACCAACAGCAACAGCAGCAGCAGCAGCAGCAGCAGCAGCAGCAACAGCAGCAGAAGGAACGAAAACAATGGGTCACTCAACATATACTAGGAGCGACGCCCCCAATCTAAGCGACCCCTAAACTTAAACTCAGCAGCAGCAGCGAGTGCAGCAGCAGCAGCGAGTGCAGCAGCAGCAGCAAGTGCTGCAGCAGCAGTAGCAGCGGCAAGAACCGCAGCAGCGGTAACTGGCACTGCAGGCTGCAGACGGTGACACCTCCAAAAGAATAAACAAATAGCCCTTTCTACTGCGGTGTACTGGCGAGGAGACGGAAGAGACAGATTAAAGAAAGTCTGCATTGAGACCCTAAAAGAGACAGGAGACACTTCGAAGTACACTCGGGAGACACCCAATAAAGGAGACAGTAAAGAAAGGAGACACTCAATGGGGGAGACACCTAAGAAGGGAGACACATAACAAAGGAGAGACCTAAGAAAGGAGACAACTAATACAGTTAAGAAAGGAGACAGTTAAGAAAGGAGACAGTTACCCCAGCGTTAATGAAGTCTACATCGATGGGCCTAGAGACTCTGGGCCCGAAGACGACAGTTATATGCGAGGGGTCTGCAGGAAGAGACACTTCTTCACCAGCTTCAATTTGCATTTCCGTTGGAGGAGGCCTTACGAACGAGTCAAACGTCAGCATCTGCTGCGGCGGCTGCTGCTGCTGCTGCTGCTGCTGGGAGGAGACACCCCCACAATCCCGCTGAGAGAAGCGCAAGGTGATGGGTCGAGGCAAACGGTTGCAGACGCAGAGACAGTGCTCCAATACAATCTCAAAGAAGAGACCCTCAAGGTTCGAGCGGCCTAAGGAGACAGCGGAGACACCCGAAAGGAGACACTCAAAAAGAGACGCTCAATATATCACGCAATCTGTACCAGGCACGAGTTGTTGAATTAGTAGGAGCACCAGCAGCAACTACAGCAGCAGCAACAACTACAGCAACAGCAGAAACAACTGGGTGGACAGCAGCAACAGCAGCAGCAGCAACAAATGGAAGCAGCGGCAGCAACCACAGGAGCAGCAGCACCATCAGCAGCAGTAGCATCATCATCAGCAGCAGCATCAGCAGCAACAGCAGCAGCAGCAGCAGCAGCAGCAGCAGGAGTATCTGGCTGACTCATGCCGTTGGAGCGCAGGGCGACTCCGACCACAGAAGCAGAGAGAGCGACTCCATCATCAATATGAATTTGTTTAGGGGGGAGACACGAGCGTTTGTTTCTGTACTTTGCTAACAAAGACCCGGTAAAGGCCCTCTGCGATTTCTCCTATAAAACAGCAAACAAATCATACAGCAGCAACAAACAGACAGACAGAAACACACGACATGCAGACACTCCAATATATACATATACAGCAGCAACAGCAGCAACAGCAACAGCGAAACCAGAAGCAGCGTGAACAAGAGCAGCCAGCATCACCATCACCAGCAACACAAGCAGCAGCAGAAGCAGCAGCGATGAAAACAACGGCGACTGCTACAGAAGCATGCGAAACTGCAGCAGCAGCAAGGAAAACAGCAGCAGCCGTAGCAGCAACAGGAACAGCAGCGTGACTACGAAGTTCATCATCATCATCATCATCATCATCATCATCATCATCATCATCATCATCATCATCATCATCATCACCATCATCATCATCATCATCATCACCATCATCATCATCATCATCAGCAGCAGCAGCAGCAGCAGCAGCAGCAACAGCAGCAGCAGCAACAGCAGCAAGAAGGTGTGTTGTGCATTTATATGTTTGCGCTTACCTCTGCAAGGAAATCTGCGTTTTTGGGGTTAAGTACAAATTTGCGGATTTTGTGTTTATACTTGGGGATTCTATCGGCAAGACAACACCAAAGAGGTGTATTATCAGTTAGCTGCCAGAAGAGAGGCAGGGGCAGCAGCTGCTGCTGCGATCCATCAAGCACAATGTAATCGACTCCAAGGGTTAAAGGGACCTTCTCCTGAGGTCGCTCGTGGGATCGTCTCCTCCGCCTCCCCTGGGATCGCGATCCCACACGATCACGCCCCACGTTCCCCAACTCACGCCCCACACGTTGCCGATGTCGACGCCGCTCCTTCACCACAGCAACAGGCAGCAAACTGTCTTCTTCCCGAGGAGACCTCGGGCTCTTGCTCCAGGGGCCCCCAGGGGCCCCCGCTGCACCGGGGCCTTTCTCCTTCTCGTCTATAAATGCAGGTGAAGCCTCGCTGTCTACCCAGGCGCTCTCAACTGCTGCTTCCGTCCCCTCTCCCCCACCTGCTGCTGCACCTTCTGCTGCTGCACCTTCTGCTGCTGCTGCATCTGCTGATGTAGGGAGTGCAGGTGGGGGGTCTTCGGCGGCTTCGGGAGTTTGTAGGGGAACAGAGCTGTCTGTGTGTCGTGTGTGTCTTGCCTTCGAGGCTTTGTCTCTTTGGGCTCTGCTATGCAGCAGCTGCTGCAGTTGCTGCTGCTGGAGCTGCTGCTGGAGCTGCTGCTGGCGGTTCTGAAGGAGACCCTCTACAGCGAACTTGACTCTGCCGTGGGCTTGTGCTGGGTTGCTGCTGCCAGTTGGTGCTGCAGCAGCAGAGGGATTGGCCGCAGCACCTACTGCAGTACCTGTTGCTGCTGGGACAGAAGCAGCAGCAGCAGCAGCAGGAGCAGCAGCAGCAGCAGCATCTTCATCTGATGAGGGGCAATCCGCCACCATAGAAAACTTTCTCCCTATATCTGTACTTGTGGGGTCTTCAACAATATAATGCTCCATAGCTGGGAGCTTTAATACAGGGGGGAAGGTCCTGAGGGGTTGCTGCTGTTGCATGTGTTCATGTGTATTTTGTCTCCTTTTGCTTCTTCGTTCTTGCTGCTTGAGAGCCTCTAACCCCCTAACAAACGGGGGCATTGAAGATGTTGGGGGCTTAGATGGTTGTACAGCAAACTTCTTACGAAATGCAGCAAAGACAGAGGTTCTTTCATCGGTGGGCCCAGGGACAGTAGGTATAACTGCAAGAGACAGTTCAGTGGTGTTGCGCACGGAGACACATGAAGACAAAAATAAGTCATGTCGAGGGTTCCCACTAGTTGAAGCAAATGCAGATGTTCTCCACAATAAATAAACAGAAGATCTAGGTCGGGGTAATGCAGACGGTATAAACCAATCACGACGACGGAGACGCCTTAAACTACTGTCTCCTAAGGGGCCCCCACCCCCAGCACGTTGTCTCCTTCCTACACCTCTGAAACCATCATATCCAGAAGCATCATTACTAGGAAGTATACGAGCCCTTAGAGGCCCCGGTATATTTGCAAAGGGGCCCTTCCTCTTAGGAGCATCAGATGCCTCGTCTGCTGCTTCTGCTGCTGCTTGATGCTGCAGATGAAGATCAGGGGGGAGAGGCTGCTCAGGGACAGAGAGACGGATAACCTCTCTTGTCTCTGTATTAAAGCAAAAGAGTTTAGAAGGTAGATCGTAAACATAATTCAAAAGACGCAGACGAACTAAAAAAGGAGACACTCTCCCGTTCTCATCTACAGGCAAACAATAACTCCCTTGGTCCTTCACTACACACCAACGCCCACTCAACACGTCCGCCCCCTCTTCGCAGTGCAAATCTTCATACAAGTCACACACACACACACACACACGCACATCATCCACTCCTTAGCTATAAAGATATATATATATATATTTATGTGTATATACGTATCTATGTGTATATATATACAAGTATTGATATACGTATGCATGTAGATATATATATATATATATATATATATTTATACGTATATCAATACTTATATATATATATATATAGATAGATAGATAGATAGATAGATAGATAGATAGAGTGAGAGAGAAAGAGGGAGAGACACCCGCCCACAGTAGCAGCACCTTTAAAAGACAAGGGAACAGCAGCAAGCTGTCAACAGCAGCAGCAGCACAAGCAGCTGCAGCAGCATCAGCAACAAACAGCAGCAGCGCCAGCACCAACGGCAACACCAGCAAGCAACAACAGCAACACCAGCAGCATCAGCATCAGCAGCAACGTTAGCAGCAGCAGCAAGAGCAACAGCAAGAGGGACAGAAGAACAGCAATAGAAGTAAAGAGACACACTTGTCATAATGGCTATTGGTTGGCCCAGCAAGTTGTAGAGCATCGGGTTGCTGCTGGCCTGGTCTCTGTTTGTGGGGTCTGCTGCAGGGCTGCTTCCTTCGGGAACAGAAGAAGCAGCAGATGCATGCGAAGTGTGCTGCTGCTGCTGCTGCTGCGGGTGGAGTAGGGGACCAGGCTTTGCTGCGTCCTTGTCTGCTGTCTCCTCCGGGACAGCAGCAGTAGCCGATGTTGTCGTTGAGTGCTGCTGCTGCTGCTGCTGCTGTTGCTGCTGCTGCTGCTGCGCCTCCTTGAGCTGGTCCCCAGCAAACTCCGCACAAGGAGACATATGAACTGAAGACCTCTGCAGCAAATGATCTCCTAATAAATCTAGAGACAGCGCATTTTCTAACGAAGCAAACAAATCAAACCCACTGCTGCCAACAACTGTCCCATCAGGCCGCAGCACAGCATAATACCCCGGTACTTCTGCTGCAGCAGCAGCAGCAGCAAGTGCATGCGACGCCTCACTCTCCTCACGTGAACCACCCACCCCCAGCTGCTGCTGCTGCTGCTGCTGGGATCGTACATCAAAGGCTCCTCCTCCCCATTCTGTTGGTGCAGCAGCTCCTACCCTCGCGCTGCGGGTTTCTATGGACTCCGGTCTCCTGAAGGGGCCCCCATGAGATGTTAGTGCTGCAGCATCGCGGTTAGAGGGCCCCCCCCCTCCTGGGGGACCCCCAAGGGGCCCCCAGGGGCCCCCTTGTGCAGGAGAGTGCTTAGGCCCTAATCTTGGGCTACCCAGATGCAGCAAGGTGCGCTGTCTAACAACAACCCCTATAAGAGCATATCCATATACGAGGAGAGCATCTGCTAGAGCTACATTAAAGTTGAAGTTAAGCCAAGAGGCCCTTAGATCAAGGAGTGTAGGGTCTGCTAAGGAGGCCTTACGCCCAACTGTCTCCAGTCTCCACGGCTCCACTGTAGCATCTGTTGTCCCTTCAAGACGATTTAAGTGCTCTGCGGAGACAGTAAAGCTCATGCTCAAGCTTGCCCAGGGCTCTGAAGCAAGCATAAGACGCCTTAGCCGCTCACCACAAGGAGCGTCTCTAGCCCAGGGGCCCCCATGGGGATCGTCTTGGGGGCCCCCCCCTTGGGGCCCCCCACCGCTAGCAGGGGCCCCCCCTCCACTGCTACCCCCGGGGCCCCTATATTGAGACACAACCCATCGACGGAATGACTTAGGGAGACGAAAGTATGTAGTTCGTCTCCGGCTGTGCAGCACCATGCTGCCGTGGAGCTGCGCATGTCTTGAACACTTGACACTGCGGTGCTTGTTAGTTGCATGCTGCAGCATTTGCTGTTGCTGCTGCTGCTGCTGTTGCTGCTGTTGCTGCTGCTGCTGTTGTTGCAGTTGAAGCGTGGCGCTTGCAGAGGCAACAGATGCGGGGCCTGTCTCGAAGGTGGGCCCAGGACGGAGACCGTGCGCTGTGTCTCCCTGCTGCAGTTGTGCGCTGCTGAGTGCTGGAAGCGGCCTCTGCTGCTGCTGCTGCTGCTGTTGCTGCTTCTCTTGCTGCTCCTCAAAGTCCCTCCAGAGACGCCAGAAGACGTCTCCTGTTGACCATGCTGAGGCAATGTCGCTGCCTGTTGTCTCTCGTCTCTCTTCAGTAAAGGGCAGGGCTAGCAGGGTTTCACTTGTCTGCAACCGATCGTTAGTCTCCATGGGTTGGGGACCGCTGCTGGCTCTGTCTCTGTCTCTTCGTTTGTCTCCTTGACGCCGACGAGAGGCACTTGCTATGGAGGCGGAGGCCATATTCCGCAGCCCCCGAGACAGCGAACGAGACCCCAGACGGTCTTGCTGCTGTTGCTGCTGCAGCTGCTGCCGCAGCTGCTGCTGCAGCACCTGTCTCCGATCTCTTCGCCTCTCTCTCCTGCTAGACGCTAAAGAGATTAGAGACTCTCTTCCAAGAGCTGTACCCTTTGAATAACCTGAATTATAACGTGTGGAGCCCCCAATGGGGGCCCCCCCATCGGACTCATGACTAGAGAAGGAGCGAGAGGTTTGTAGATTGAGCCTTGTGCCTGTTGCAGTATCCGCCTGCTGCAGCAGAAGCTGCTGTTGCTGCATGCTGCTGCTTCTGCTGTCTCTTTGCTTGACAGGAGCTTGAAAATTCATATACCTCCTTCTCAGCCTCTGGTGGCGGGCTCCGAGCTCTTCTTGCTGCAGCAAAGTGCAGCAAGCCTTTAGAAACGGATCTGCGCATGCAGCAAGGGTGAGGGAGCTGGGATCGACTTGGATCGTCTCCGCGCTGCAGCGGGGCCTCGAGGCCCCCCTCAGCTCCACGTCTTCTACTGTAAGGGAGAAGCAGCACTTCCTGCTAACACTGAAGGTATCCCATAGAGACACTCGAAATAGCTCAGAAGACACCTCAACTGCCACAGCAGTGGTGTGCAGCAAACCCCTCAACGCCTCCTGGGCTGTAAGTACATAGGGTGTCTCCGTCTCTTCCTCAGGTATGGGTCCCCAAGGGCCCCCAAGAGAAGCACCCCAACTACCCTCGCCCCCTCCACCGTCTCTTGCTGCAAACAATCGCTGGGGGGAGCCCTCTCTGGTAGAGTTTATGCGTCGCTGCTGCTGCTGCAGATACTGCTGCTGCTGCTGCTCTTGCTGCTGCGCGGCAATGAAGCTCTCCAAGACGGGGTTTAGGCCCCTGTGGGAACTAGCTGCTGCATCTTCCTCCGCATGCAAGTACCCTGAAGCAGCAAATGGTTCATAAGGTGCTCCACCTGCTGCTGCTGCTGCTGATGCTGCTGCTGGGTGTTGTCTGTGTGGGTTTGTAGCAGAGACAGACTTTGCTGCACTGGTGAGGGTATCGGATACCTCATGCGCTGCAGCACGGAGTTCGTCTTGTGCAGCAGCAGCAGCAGCAGCAGAAGGAAACAGTTTATTAATTTCTTCTACGAGAGCACCAACGATTGCTAGCAGCTGGTAAGAGAGCACAACAGCTAAGGTATCCAGCGTAAGCAAGACAGGCTCAACCCTAACTCGAAGACAGAGGCCCTCAGGCTCTGCTGCTTGCAGCAAACCGTAGCTGCTGCGGAGAGCAGCAGAGGCCTCAGGGCAGATGCCGCATACGCGCTCCTTTAAGGTGCTGCTGGAGGGGACACATAGCGTTAGCTGTAGCAGCAAACGAGTAGGAGACAGAAAGGGACTGCTGAGCCGCAGCGGCTCCCACGCTACCAGACAAGGCAACAAAGGAGACAGCAGCTCCGGCTGCGTAGCAACAGCACACAGATTAGAAATAGAGACACCCGCTCGAGCCATAAAGGGACAGTAAGGAGACAGACACTGCAGCAGTAAAGCCCCGCTGCTGTCTACACCCCGCACAAATGCAAGCTCAGGAATGCTGTCTTCGTCGCTATTCGCCCCCACTTGCTGCTGCTGCTGCTGCTGCTGCTGCTCCTGCTCCTGCTGCTGTTGCTGCAGCGAGAAGAGCGAGAGAGTGACCTCGAATCCAGCGGAGACAGCTATCAGCTTAGGCACGCGAGAGGCGCATGCTGCTATTGCAGCTGCCCCCTCAGGTGTCTCTCTGTCTCTTCGCAGCACCAGTCTCCTTAGCCCCCTCCAGTAGTCTACTGCTGAGGCCTTGAGGGGACGGGTGAAGAAGCGTCTCCCTGAAGGTGCGGAGGTGCTGCAGTATAGCAGCTGCTGCTGCTGCTGCTGCAGCCCCGTGCTGCTGCGGCCCGACCCCAGCAAAGCCTTGCGCCCCTTTGCTGTAGCACTGGAGACACCTGCTGCAGCAAAGGCTAGCCCGGAGACGATCCCAGGGACGACTGCTGCTGCAACTCCATCCGGAGCGAAGTGGTGCAGCAGCTGCTGCTGCTGCGGCTGCTGCTGCTGCTGCTGCTGTCCCCAGTCTCCTTTTCGGCGCCTGGTGCTTCCCCCTGCAGACCCTGCCACTGTACCTGACTCTGTTGGGGGCCCTCTCCCCTCTGAACTCAGCACATGCTCGAAGCGCAATTTATTTAAAAGATTGCGTCCTTTCTTTCCTAGTGCTCCTGTAGGGGCTAAAGAAAGGCCCCCTGATGCGGCTGTCCCCTTAGCACCACCTTCTCCCTCTCCCCCGTCTCCATTATGCTGCTGCTGCTGCTGTCTCCTGCGTTCGCCGTGGGAAGCTGTTGAAAGTGCTGCTGCAGTCTGGCTTCGTTTACTTAGTGAGTGCTGCTGCTCTGTTTGCTGCTGGGTAGGCATGCGTACAGGTTCAGTAGGAAGCCACACCTCCGCCTGCTGCACCCGCAGCAGCAGCTGCAGCTGCGGCATTCTGCTGAAGCAGCAAAATGCTTCTGCTCCTGATGCAGACCCTACAGCCCTCAAGCTCTCCCCCTCAGCAAATGCAGTAGTGGGTAGCTTCCAGCGTCGTGCCTGTCTCAGCAAGCCCAGTGGGGGGGACCCCCCAGTGGGGGCCCCCTTGGGGGCCCCAGAGGAGGCCCTGGGGCCCCCCCCACCCCCTTCTTTGCGGGCCCTATTAAAGGTACTAGGCTCGCCTTGGGGGGCCCCCTCACTAGCTCTTTGTGTCTCCTCTATAGCACGCAGCAAACGCGCAGCATCAAACAAACCCGATACGTTGCCGCTCTCTACTGCTACCCAAGAAGGTAAGGAGCCCGGAGGCCCCACCTCATCAACATGTTCACCATCAACCTGCTGCTGTTGCTGCTGCTGCTGCTGTTGCTGCTGCTGAAGGCGGTCTAAAGGAAAGGAAGAGGCATCCATAGTGTAGCGGGTGGAGCAGCGCAGGGGGAATTCTCGAAGTAACTGAGAAGCCCTTGGGTTTGCTGCTGCTGCTGTTGCTGCTGCTGCTGCTTCTGCTGCTGCTTCAGGGGACGCGGGCTCCTGCGTTTGCTGCAGCGATTGCTGTGCGCCTGCGGGCGCCCCAGGGGCCCCTGGGGCCCATGGGGCCCCCACATGCACAAACGAGCCGTAGGCCGCGGAGTCCCTGGGATCGTCTCCTCCCGCCAAGCTGAACCACCTGCTATCTGTAGTAGCTAGGCTAGGGTTTCTGCTGGGTTGCTGCTTAAAGGATGACCTTTTGCGTGCCTTTAAGAGTCTCTGCACGACTGCCTGTAGCTGCTCCTCGAGCATCTTATGCTGCTGCTGCTGCTGCTGCTGCTGCTGCTGTTGCTGCTGCTGAGGCACCTGGGCCCAGCTGGGAAGAGGGGGAGGAGGCAGCGGAGGTGGAGCCTGAGGGAAGGTCGGCATATCTTCTGCTAGTTGGCTAACTACCTGCAGCAATTCATAGAGCACCTCCCAGACCAGCACCACTCGAGTATTTAAAAGGGAGACAACTGTCTCCACTGTCTCCTCTGCAGCATTACCCCACAGACGCAGCTCCAAGTGAGGACGCTGAGGGCAACACTGCAGCAACGAACAGCTGGTGCCTCTCCCGCTGCTGTTGCTGCTGCTGTACGGAGCAGCGGAGTACCGCCGGTGCGAAGGGCCCTCTTCCCACGCCGTTTCTTCCCTCCGTCCACTCCCCTGCTGCTGCTGCTGCTGCTGCTGCTGCTGCGCTGCTGCTGCCCTGTCCCCCCCCACGAAGAAGCCGTCGCGGGGGGCCGGGGACCCTGAGGAGGGATCCTTGGCAGACGCAGAGACAGGTGTGCGGGGTGTCTCCTCCTGCTGCTGCGGTGCCTCTTCGGGTGTACGCTGTGGGGCGCCTGAGCCCAAGTAGAGGGAAGAGAGACACAGGGGAGCGATGTTAGTATCGTCTCTCAGCTCTGCTCCCTTCAAGGAGACAAGTGCCTGCACGAAGCCCTCAGTTGAGGTGAAAGCCTCAATAAAACACTCCCCCAGCAGCAACGTGACCAGTGGTCCAATGGTCTGGTACGGTCGGTAGGCCTGACCGGTGCAGGTCTCCGTTAGGGGGAGACAGGCAGCCAGCCAGCCCCCTGCAGAGGAGACACCGCCACGGGGCCCCCAGAGGCCCCCCCCAGGCCCCTGCACCACAGTACCCTCGGGGCCCCCCTCCCCTGATATTAGAGAAGCAGCGCGCTGCTGAGCAGCAAGCCCATCGAAGGCAGAGGCAGCAATCTGTGCAAATCCACTAAGCAGACCCCCGCCGCTTCCTGGTGGTGGTGCTCCTGCTGCTGCTGATGTCCCTGCAGCACCGCCTGCTGCTGCAGCTACAGCAGCAGGAGACTCATAGTGCCAGCGCCTCCGCCGGTGCTGCAGGTGAAGCCCAGGGCCGCTGCTACGGGGAGGCCCCCCACCTCCAGCGGCACCATCATGGCTGCCGCTTGCTGCTGTTGCTGCTGTGGAGGTGGCAGCAGGAAAGGAGTCGGTGTCTTCGTTGTCTCCTGCTGCAGGAGCTGGCGCTGCTGCTGCTGCTGATGCTGCTGCTGCTGCTGGACCGTCTCTGGGGCTTGCCTTGTAGCTAACGGTGGGGCCCCTCCTCATCAGAGACACCCGAAGGCCCCCAAGAGCGCAGTGTATCTCCATGTACATGTCTCCTTCTTTGCTGTTTACAAGGGTGTTTGAAGCTGAGGCAAGGGCCTGCTGCGCCCTCGCTCTGCTGAGGGCTAGCTGGGTGCCTACTAGGGCTGTTGTATGGTCTACTCCTGCTGCTGCTACAGTGGAGACAACTGTCTCCTCTTCAGGGTGAGAGGCCTTTCTCTGCTGATCCCCTGTCTCCTGCTCCTGTTGCTGCTGCTGCTGTTGCTGTTGCTGTTGCTGCTCCTGCTGCTGCTCCTGCTGCTGCTGCTGCTCTAGCTCCAAGCACTTCGCCTCCATCTGGTGCACTATGCATGCATCTAAAGCAGCTTGCTGCTGAGCTGCGTCTCTAAAGATAGCCTCTAGTTGAGGTGAATAAGAATAAAATATCTCTAGGGACTCTGCTGCTATATTTGCTAAGAGCTCAATGTCGTGTTGAGACAGAGACACTGCAAGGCTTTCTTGCACCACATCCACCTGCGCATACACCCCACACCCCACAAGCAAACAAAATGAATATATATACAGCAAACAAACACAAAGAAGGAGACACCGCAGAGACAAGGAGACAACACACACACAAACAGGCACACAGACACCCAACCCAAGCAAGACAGCGCCGCAAGCTACACAGGTAAGGAGACAGGTCTACTTTATGTAGAGTTATATATATATATATAAGTATATTTATGTATATACACATGTATATATACATACATATATATATATCATATATATATATATATATATATATATAAAAACATAAATGAGATATGTTTATGCGAGCATCTACAAAGCTTGTTCGTGTATATCCGCGTATAGTGTTTGTTGGGGTGTATGCGGAGACAGCAGGAGATGCGTACATGGAAGGCGGGGACCCCGGGCCTATATTTATCATGTGCTACCTTAAGAGACACTGTACTTGTCTCTACAGGCTGCACAAGATAGGAGACACCTGAGGGCAGTGCGCCGTTGTTGGAGACACCCACGCTCTCCTCTGTCCCTGCGCCTGTCTCCTGCTGCTTCCCTCTCCTACCCTGCTGCTGCTGCTGTTGCCTTGCTGCTGCTGCACCTGGAAGCCGCGGTTGCTGCTGCCAGCCGGAGTCTCCCGCTGTCTCGAAATGCCCCCCAAGATCTGTTGCAGCTGTGGCTTGCTGCTGCTGCTGCGCTACCCAAGGAGTTCCACCTGCTGCAGTTGCTGCAGCAGCAGCTGCAGCAGACAGCTGCAGCAAACTGCTGAGCCGACGAGGGAAGGGCACCACGAGGCCTCCCAAGTACATTCGCAGCCGCAGCAAATCCCTGCTGCAGGACATAGTCCGCGCAACTGTAAGCCCAGTAAGCCTGAAATCAGCAAGCAGCAGCAACATTTTAAAGGAGTAACAGCAGCAGCAGCAGCAGCAGCAGCATTATCCACAGCAGCAACAGCAGCAGCATTATCCACCGCAGCAGCAGCAGCTGGAGCATTACCCACAGCAGCAGCACCAGCAGCAGAATGACCCAAGGCAGCAGCAGCAGCAGCAGCAGCAGCATGAGTTGAAGCAGCAACAGCAACAACAACAGCAGCATCGAAGGGCCGGCGGGCACTGGCCACAACAGAAGTAGGAGCAACAACAGCAGCAGGAACAGAACCAGGAAGCAACAGCAGCAGCACCACCAGGAGAAGCAGCAGCCGCCGCAGGAGCGCCAGTGGCACGACCAGCAGCAGCAGCAGCAGCTCGACCAGCAGCAGCAGCAACAGCAGCAACAGCAACAGCAGCATCAGCAGCAGGAGAGTCTATGTGGGTCTCACTCGCACGAATAAGAATCAATCATTGCAGCTGTCTCCATATTATCTGGGTAAGAGAGTCTCCTCGGCTGCAGCTGGGACTTCGCCTTTAAGCTGCCTAAATCTACTTGCAGGCCTTCACACTCTAATCGAGAAGCAAGACGGGGCATTACAAAGGAGACAGTTTTTTGAAGCTCTATATTCAGCAGCATATTCGGATGCTGAATGTCTCCCCCAGCTACAGCAGAACAAAATGCTTCCCCTTGACGCAACAACGCAGCGCGCTGAGGAGACACCCCACAAACGAAACACAAAACAGCAGCAGCAGCAGCAGCAGCAGCGGCAGCACACACACAGAGAGCAGCTGTAAGGTTTAAACTCCACGTTGATAGGCTTTAGGGTTTAGGGTTTAGGGTTTGGGCTCGCGAGACACCGCATGCAAACAGAGAAGGCACAACGCAGCAAACAAGGGGACAGAAGCAACCACAGCAGCCTCAATACCCCGCATCCATATCTGCTGCTGCTGCTGCTGCTGCAAAGCAGCAGCAGAAGAGATAGAAGCTTTGTCTCCGTGTCTGTCTTTCTGTTCATCTATGCTGCACCTGCATCTGTCTCTAATGAAGGTGTCTCCAACTGCGTGTCTCCGTCGTTTAGAAGTTGTCTCTTGTCTTTGTCTTTGCCGCTAACTAAAGTGTCTCTGCCTCTGTCTCTCTCACAGTCTCTCTGTCTCTCTGCCTCTGTCTCTGTCTTTAACAAAGACTTCTCTGTCTTTAATAAAAATGTCTCTGTCTCTTCGCCGCTGCTATAATGAAATAACATATTAATAAGAATATAAATAAATATAATCAAAGCGTGCGCATCTCTTTCCCTCTATCTCTCTGTGTTTCTCTAACTGGGTGTCTCCATCTCTGTTTATTTGTTTGCAGTGTCTGTCTCCTTGTGTCTCTGTCTCTAAAGCAGGTGTCTCCTCCCTGTTAACAATATTAGAGTAAGGTAATGCACCTGAATATTTGAAGACATAAGGAGATCCTTCGTGCGAGCAGCATCAACAAGATTAAGGCTTTCTCCTAAGACGAGGAGACACCTCTGGGGACTAACAACAACAACAATACCAGCACAAGAGTGCAGCAGCAGCCGCATGTCAGGTGCATGCAGCGTTCTAAATAGCTGCGAGTCAACCCGCATGTACACCCCAGGGCTCCAGGACCGGATCCCATCGAGTTTCTTTCGATAGTCTTTTGCTGTCTCTGGGGACTTTGCTGCTGCTGCTGCTGCTGCTACTGCTGCTGCTTCTGCTGCTGCTGCACCTCCTCCTGCTCCTGCTGTTGTTGGCGCTCCTGCTCCTTTGCCTGCCCTGCTGCCCTGACCGTCTGCTGCTGCTGCTGCTGCTGCAGGGTCTGTTGCTGCTGCTGCTGCAGTAGCAGCAGCACCTGCTGCAGCAGTAGGCTGCTGCTGCCCACTGGTCTCTGTCTCTTGGGAGTCGTCTCCCCTGCCTAATACCTTTTGTAAGACATCGAAGAAAGCATTTCCTTTGCGTCTCCTTTTTGTCTTTTGTAATGAAGGCTCCAGTAGCAGCAGCACAGACACCTCAGGAGGAGTTAAAGTACTCTCCAGGTCCCTCGCAACCGTCAGCACTGTCGTTGGATACACCTGAACAGCAACACAACAGCCCATCTTGCTGCTGCTGCTGCTGCTTCTCCTGCAGCTGCTGCTGTTGCAGCTCCTGCTCTTCTTGCTGATTGTGATGTGGGTCCTGGTGCTGTTGCTGTTTGTGCTGTGGGTGCTGGTTCTGCTGCTGCTGCTGCTGCTTGTGCTGTGGGTGCTGGTGCTGTTGCTGTTTGCGCTGTGGGTGCTGCTGCTGCTCCTGCTTGTGCTGTGGGTGCTTTTGCTGGTGCTGCTGCTGCTTGTGATGTGGGTGCTGCTGCAGCGTAAAAGCGGCAGCAGAGAGCGTTGGTGAGACGAGGAGACAGAAGGTAGACAAAGGAGACAGGGTGAAAGGAGACAGTAGAGAGGGAGGCAACGAGGAGACAGAAGGAAAGGAGACATCAAGGAGACAGTGAATAAGGAGACAGAATAAGGATATAAAGAAGGAGACAGAAAGACCTCAGAATCAAGGAGACACATAATTATGAACAGGAGGACAGCCACCACAACATCTGCATTAGAACACCTCTACTGCTGCTGAGCGTATGCCGCTTGCTGCAGAAAGGAGACAGTTTGTTTGTCTTACCTCTACATCCATGCTGAGTGTTTGATCTCCTGTTACACCAGCTTGAAGATGATAATGCACGCAAGAACATTCAAGAGCAAGGAGACGCTGCCCATAACGAGGAGAGGGGACAGCTACTCCCTGTCCCTCGCATACTGTTAATAACACCAAGTTAGAGACAGCTACATCCAACGCAAAATCAACAGAAAAAAAATTTGCACGCAGCTGCCCTAAGCGAGACGATCCCACTCCTTTTTGTCTGCAAAACAATGCATGCACAGACACAACAACTCATTTACTATATTTATCATATATATTATAGATTATATATATAATATATGATATTATATATATATATATATATAGTTTGGATACGGGGACAATATATTATTCAGTGTTTAGGCATATGTATATATATATATATATACATATATATATATATATATGTATACACATATATATACATATTACGTATACATACTATAGAATATATATATATATATATATATATATATCACAAAATATATACCCCAACTAATACCACACATACATACACCCCAACTAATACATTATATATATATATATATATATATATACATCAATGAAATGCGCAGTACGCAGGTACGCAACAACTAGCATAAAAAGCATGTACACCTCACCAGGCTATATACAATATTATATACATATATTATATATATACCCTGGAATACACATATATATATATATATAATGTATTTATCTATATATATGAAAGTGCTGCGCTGTGATGCGTTTCGTTGTATTATGCAATATATATATATATATATATATATATATATATATATATATATATATATATATATAT